GAAAGCCGGCTGCCCAGTCAACTGAGCAAGTCTAGCCACGCTAAGCAGACAGCGTAGCTAAGTCTCTGCAGAGGACTGGACATTTATTGTTGTACGTCTCCAAGGTTTAGTTTGTTATACAGCAAAGGCTAACTGTTATGTAACTGTACTTTACTAACATAACAATTGAATTGATCTGGTTCTGAAAAGTTATTTCCTGAACTTTCCCCTCAACCCAACTTTCCCTAAGGAAACAGGATGATCTCAGATTGTAGATATATGTGACAGCCTTCCAATGATGGAAGGAAACAGGATGCATTCGAGTCAGAATACATACACTTAAGCAGGTAGTGTAGCACATGACAGTTGCTTTTTTTTTTTTTTTTTTTGGTAGGGAGCAACTATAAAAATATAATTTTAAAAGGTTTGTAAAAAAAATAAAAGCAAAAACAAGCTATTTCTTTGCATTACAAAGCATGCTTTTCTTCTTAATTTTACAAAGAAATAAACTACTTGATTTCCTAGAACATTCTTTTCACTCTCAGAATCTTTCTCAAGGACCACATTCCTAAGTGTCCATGCTTGACTCCTGCTTCCTGGTCAAGATTCAAATGAGAAGAAACGCTCTTTAGAAAGCCTTCTCTCTCTGCCAAGCTCTGGCCGCAGCACACTGGACTGTCCTCCCATGGTGGATACTGCCTCAACCCAGCCTCTGCAGGCTGACAGGCCTTTTACCAGCCACCTAGGAACCCTCTAAATCTCAACACAGACTGCTTGATTCATGGTTTGCTATGCTTATATGCATTTTATCCCACAAAAGTTTATTTGCTGGAAGCTTAATCACTAAGATTGGTGATTCACGCACGTCAGTGATTCTCAACCTTCCTAATGCTGTGACCCTTTCATACAGTTCCTTGTGCTATGGTGACCACCAACCATAACATTATTTCCTTGCTTCTCCATAACTGTAATTTCGCTACTGTTATGAATCGGATATGTGACCCCCCCAAATGGGGTCATGACCCACAGGTTGAGAACCAATTCTCTACATGCTTAGCCCTGAGTGGAGGACACTAAGACACAAAAGGTGCCCTGGAAAATGGGTTCATCTTCAGCACCCATGAGTAGGTTAGGTCCTGTGCAACTGGACTACACAATGGAAAAGTAGATCTTTACAAAGCCAACTTGGCTGTCAGTGGCTCTCCTGCTCCCTCTCTCACGACTTGACCTGCCATCATGTAACTACCCTCATCTGGCTCAGGAATGTGGCTCAGGAATGACCCCAGGACAGTGCTGTTAGGACTCACTGACAACGAGAATTTTGAATCATATAAACATATTTCTTTTATAAAGCACTCAGTTTCAAATATTCTCTTAAAGAAACACAAACTGGATCAGATAAGGTTGGAGCCCGGCAATCAGCATAATATCTGGCACGTGCTTGTCATTCTCTATTATCGGTCGTATGGATTCCGGCTGGAGTTTAGGAACTCGACTTCTGGACAGAGAACTGGACATTTTTCTCTCAGGGTCAGTCAGAGCGCCTTATGGTGAGGCCCAATTGGCCTAAGCCGGGATATGAAAAAGGTTTTCCACAGTTTGGCTCTTTTAGCATGAGATCGCCCAGTGGCAATGGAAGCTCAGGCGTTCCAAAGCCTGTACCAGAGTGTTACAGCTCTTGGTCAAGCTGCTGTACTGAGCACGGCAGAGGCCTAGGCAGGCCCAAGGCCCATGCCTGGTCGGCTTGCAGCCAAGACACAGGCCTGGTGAGGCCCAGGCCCAGTGGGACGGAGGGCAGGCCCAGTGAGGCTCAACCCTGAGGATAAATGACGAATCTCAGACTGTCTTGAAGTGGGAAACCTCGAACCTGTGTGCCTTTATTCGGGTGAAATCAAGGGCAATATAAACCTTAGGCTGAGGGAGGGATTTCAAGCGTTAATGTGTTTGATTCACTTGGGTCAGGGAGTCAGGGCTATTTAAATAGTCCTATCACAAGAAGGAAAATGCAGTACTTATTTATCCTGGAGTGTCAGGATCTCCAACTATAACTGAAAGTCACTGTTGGACTATTGAAAGTCTAAAATCCTTAATTCAGTGGGGCATTTCTAGGAATTCCTAGGTGCTTGCTAGAACAGTTTCCTTATCAGGGGAAGGGTCTAACCTGGAATCTGCCCTGAAGGGCCATGGGACCTCCTTACAAGATGTGGAATCACCCAATCATGGAAGCCCTTCAGAACCCTGCTGAGAAAAGGGAGTCTATCATCATAGACCAAGTGCAAATAAATGGCTATCCAGAGACGACTGACTTCAAACTTATCCAGAGGAGCCCCACAGCACTGGGCCATTACCAAATTAATTTGCAACTAGATTTCTTTAAATTATTTAGTCTTAATTAATCCAGAAGCAAAGTTCAAAGTCTGGAGCTTTACAGAGAACAAGTACTACTTAAACAATTATTAAATGGAGACTTTCATTAACAAAGGATCTGAATTAATTATTTGGAGTCTTAAATCAATATTGATTGAGACATGTACTACTAATATGAATACTATTAATGCTAATATCTGTTATATGGTAAACAAGGCAGCATTTCAAATTTATGTAGCATATACTAAAATAACAGGTGCCTGGATCAAACCTAGGTTCACTCAGTTATTTGTGAAATCATTTGAACTCGAAATGGTCATTTGCAGCTACGTACAGTCTTGAATTACCTGTACCAACCTCTGAACTCCAAATTCCATAGTATCTTCTTCCCCTGAGCTCTTTATCCATGGTTTCTGCATACCAATTGCTGCTCATGAACAAACCCAGTTTTGGCATTTCAAAGCCTTCATCTGCCCACCACCAAGCTTTTCCATTTGTCCTCAATCTATAAAATTGACTATCCATCCTTTAAAATAACAATCATAGTCCACTTCTTCTGCAACATCACTCTTCATTCGAAAGAGTATAGCTCCAGCTCAGCTTTCATTCACAAACCATTCAAGTGTAAGCTTGCTCATACACAAGCCCTCATTCATTCACTCAGGAGTACCTGTTTCATGAGAAACCCTGTACACACAGCAGATTCTAAATATCCATCAGCTAAATAGATTCATATAATCAAGGAGCTGCCTTCTCCAAAATCCTCCAGTCACTTAGCAGTATACAGATTTAGGGTAAGTTATTATATTAATCAGAGAAAGATGAATATCTGACAAAGGCTTTCTAAATCTCTTAAAGTCATTTCTAATTATCATAACAAGACACCAGAAGAAAAGGAAAAACTCAGAATATTTGCATTATATGGGAACTGGGGGAATAGTTAGCTCTTTATAAGCACACAAAAATAATAACACTCCAGCAGTAAAAGGCAACAAAGGACACATAAACAGGCAATTCACAGAAAACAAATGTCCCTAACAAATGCATAAATATACTTCAGCTCACTGAGGAATTGCAAATTAAAACAATTAAATGATGGCCTTGTTTATCTGTTTTGGACAGATGGGCAAAGCTAGCGCATCCTCAAGGTTGACAAGGGCAGTCCATGGAGTATGAGTATGTTTTAAAAGCTGACAGTATGGCTCAACAGATAAAAGCACTTGTCTATGCAAGACAGACCTCTTCAGTTCAATTCAATCCCTGGAGCCCAGGATGGAAGGAGAGAACCAACTGCCAAAAGTTGTCCTCTCACTTCTACACACATGTAGCACACAATAATAAATAAATAAAAGTGTATTATCTATAAAACTGAGAGCAGCTTTTCTAGAGAATAACTTGGCAAAACACGTAAAGTAAATATGCCTGCTCTGACTCAGAAATTATGCTCCTATGACTTCTGTCAAGAAAACAAAAGTACGTGCATGAATGTGCATGTGTGTGTGTGTGCATGCGCATGCAACTTATGTGTAGGGTGTATATATATATATATATATATATATATATATATATATATGAATTTCATTTAAGAATTATAAGAAACAATTAAGACCACTGATGAGGATAATTCACGTAGTCACTACGCCACAAAGGTAGCAGTTAAAACAGGTAAGGCAGAGGCCCAGATTAGTGAAGCATACCTAAAAACCTAGCACTGAAGCAGAGATCCTGAGTTCCAGATCAGCCTAGGCTGCATTTCAATCCTTGTCTCAAAAGAAGAAGACAATAGACACTATTTGTATGACCATTTAACAATGCATTGTTACATGTTACACATGAAACAGACCATAAAGACTATGACTATATTCAAACCAGTCTCATGAGCCCCCTAACATTATTAAAGATGTAACAGTGAATCCACTCTAAAACAAAGTTCCAAATGTGTCAATTTGTGTAGGTAAGAATTCCCGGAGTACATTAACCTACTAGACTACATCTTTCTAACACTAAAATCTTTTAATTTTAAGAATTTTGCACATCAAAACTTGAGTAGAAATTCATTGCAAAGCCTCAGAATGCCTGTGTGTCCGCAACTTTTAACCATCAAAATACAAAAGAAAGAATTTTTCAAAGTCCAGAATTTTTGAATTTTGAATTTTGAATTTTCACAAACATTAAGCTTTAACACTAAGTCTTTGGTACCGATGACAATTTGTGTTGAACATGCTCAATTTATGAAAATCACAAATTACAACTATTTACTTCAATAGACCATTCACTGTGTTTAAAAGAGTAGAATCCTTTAAATATTTAAAGAGATCAATCTAAAAATGTTGCACGTAAGTCAAATCTAGTAAAGAACAATTATAAACAGCCATGAGGCCCTGTACAAGGGGCAGGACTGGAAATCTGGAGCTGGAGAACCTAGAAATAAAGATCACTCTTTTGACTCAAGAATTTCCAAGCAAAGAGGCTACTTGCACCTCAAACACCTCTTATATCTCCACTTATTTGTTTATTTGAATTCATACTAATATCAAAATGGAGCTTCTTGCCCTCCACCCATTCTTTCTTTTGGCACACCCCTTTCCACTTTGAGTATACAAATGTAAAAGATTTCCTCAGATGCTAAACTCAGAAAAACAAAGCATACTTACACAGTACACTCCCAGAACTCTGTGTTGCTGTCCTTTGAGCTCAGCGCTCTCCTTAGGCACGGATGCCTGCCTCTTATCATTTCTTCATGGGGTTCAGGGCAAAAGGTCTAGTCAAGCAGATGATCTTTTTGGTTGCCTCTACACTCCCCCAAAACACCTACAAAACCATGAAACAGAGCTATAAGTTGAATTTTTTTAATGAAAATTATTTCGTATTTCCCTGTGCACAGATGAGGGAATATCACAGAAGAATGAAAATACACTCCTATAGTCATCCAAATACCCAAGTGGTATCCAGATGCCGGGCCTGCAAATTTCTAGTAAGTGGCATCTTCTGCCCATGCCGAGGTATCAATGGGCTTGCTAGTTCATGCTAGGGGATGAGTTGTACCCCAAGCCTCGGCAAAAGTACTGACTATATCTATCAGCTAGGAGACTAAACTAGGAAGATTAACATGTTTTTTTCTGAATTTGCTGGCTCATTTTTAAGTCAAGGCTTGCCTCCCCCTCTTTAAAGACATATTCTATATGGTTGATCAGTTTTCACAGTGGTAAAACAAATAAATAAAAGTATTGTGCATGTGGTTATAGGAAAGCAAAATGGGTAGAAATGTTCTCGACACTTGATGACTATTTTTAAAACTGGAAGAATCCACAGAAAGACCATCTAAGAAAATCGCTCTCAGTGTCTATCAATAAACCATTTCAAGAAGGGTATTCAGGGGAAAACAAGTCACTGAGAGACTGAGAGATTTTCAGAGTGACCAGTGAAGCAACGGTTTAATACACACTTTTCTAACACAGTAGCAAGCTTCACTACATGGCGAGTCCTCGGAGCAGTGAAATTTCTCTGCCAGTGGTTCCCAACCTTCCTAATGCTGCAACCCTTCAATACAGCTCGTGTCATGGTGACCACCAACCATAAAGTTATTTTCATTGCTACTTCATAACTAATTTTTGCCACGGTTATGAATCATGACGTAAATAATCTGTGTTTTCTGATGATCTTCGGTGACCCCTGTGAAAGGGTCAGTTTTGACTCCCAGGGGGTCGTGACCCACATGTGGAGAACCACTGTTCATGCCAATGTACAGCTGTCAAAGGTCATCTTCCCTCTGGGTTGTCCAATGAAGTAGTCATATGACTATGACTCTAGAAACCTGACTAGTTCAAATTGATACACACCATAAATATAAAATATTAATACATGCCAGATTCTGAACATCCAGTACCTTTTCCAAAAACATAAAATATAGCCCAAGCGGTGCCACAAGCCTTTGATCCCAGCACTGTGGAGGCAGAGGCAGGTGGAGCTCTGTGACTTGGGAGACCTGTCTGATCTACATAGTGAGTTCCAGGCCAACCAGGGCCACACAGTGGGACCCTGTCCCTGTTTGTCTGTGTGTGTCTCTCTCTGTGTGTCTCTTTCTATATATATGTGTGTGTATGTATACATACAAAGTTTGATATTCACATGTTGAATATATATTTTATGTACTGTGTCAAATAAATTAAGATTAATACCAGAAGTTCCCTTTTACTTTTAATACAGGTACTATAAAATTAAAAAACGCCTGTACAGTTCGCATGATATTTCTGTGAGATACAATCAGTTTTAGGAAGAAGTACCAAGAACCTGCTGTGTGTTAGGCACTGCGCCAAATACTTTGCATAAGCCTGACAAGGACGCTCCAACACCTAGCTTTGCTTGACCTTTACCTAACAGACCCAGTCCATTAAACCAATACAGGATGCAGCTGGGATTCAAAGTTTGGTGTTTCTACTAATTCCAAAAGAGGGCTGCTAACCGCTATGACCGGAGCATCTCCTAAGTTAGCATAGGAAAATCAAGTGACTAGCGACTAGAAAACAGAGATAAGCACCAACTTATACACCCGGGGCAGTCGACCAACGTAAAATCGCTAAAACGGCTAGTAGGCTAGCCCATAGCAAGCTCCAAAGCCAGGACAACGCACTTTCAGAGTGAGACGCCCAGGACCTAACCGCGGACGACCTCCGGACGGAAGCAAACGCACCATCTACCCCACCTCACCAAACACTGCACCCACACACCCGGCCCACCCAGCACACCCTTACAGCTCTGGTATCTCCACCCTGGGACAAGGGGAAGTAGGACTCAAATGTCTCTGTAGGGGAAGTGAGAGAAAGAACAAGGGTACAGAGCAGGACAGGTACCTTAGATGCAAGGTGACTCCAGGTTCTTAACGCCGGATCATCGCCGAGGCCCCACCCGGCTCCCGCGGCTACCAGCGACCCCGAAGGTGCAACTGACCTAACGCGGCGGAGCAACCGACTCAGCTCACCCCCGACTCGCAGCTATGGCAACTTGAACTAGCCGCCCAGGCGCGGCTAGAGCACAGGACAAGCCGCCGCCGCTTGGCCCTCTGGGAGCTGTAGTCCATCCCACGCTCCAGAGCAAGGCGCTATACAGAGAAAATGACAGGAGATAAACTGCAAATCCCAGCATGCTCTGCGCAGGGCCTCTAGTTGCTTTCCCGGAAGAAACTGGATACGCGGTATTTACTGACCCAGAGCCCTGCCTTTTTGCCCCGCTCTAATTTTGTTTTTTTAAAGGGCCAGTAGCCTGTGAAAATACAAACTCCTGGTAGAAAGTGAATTCAAATGCTACCTTGACACTGATCGTAATATTCCTTATTAGAAAACATCAAAGGATAAATAATAGCCAGCAGTGAGATGTAAAAATTGCTCTAATGTCTTGTTTTAAAGGCTTGGGACTGGAGGGAAGTAAAAAAATATATATCAATTGAAACACTTTCCTCCTGGAATTACTCGACTAAGACATCTCTTCAGTGGCAAACTACAAAAGCAATGTGAGGCGGTCTATTCATTACTGTTATGTTACGTCCTCACTAGAACATGAAAGACATATTTTCTGCTCAGATAAAAAATGTCAGTGTCAACCATAATGAGAAAAATTAAAATCTCGACGAAGGAAGGAGCTTTGAAAAAACTAAGAAGTGCAAATCCATTAAGCATGTCGCTAGTCTTTTCCCTCTACCCTGGCCAAAAAAAAAAAAAAAAAAAAAGACACTGACCTGACCCTCCTCAAAGCTAGAATCACCTTTTTTTCTTTTCTTTTCTTTTTTATTTTATTTTTATTGATTCAATTTACATCTCGGTCATGGGCCCCTCCCTCCTTCCCTCCCAGTCCCATCTACCCTCCCACATCCCTCCTCCCCTATCCCTCAGTATAGAGGAGACACTTACCCACACACCCCAACTCATTTACTTGCCTAAGGACTGAGTTCTGAGTTCATCTTCCTCCGCTGTGGCCCTGTAGGGAAGTACCGTCAGGGAGAAGTGATCAAAAAGCTGGCACTATAATCCATGTCAGAGATATACCCTAACTAGTGAGCCCACTTGAAGCTGAAGCTGCCCATCAGCTACTTATATGTAGAGTATCTAGGTGGAGAACATGCATTGTCTTTGGTGTATTTCAGACTCCACAAGCCTCTCTGGGCCCTGTTGATTGGCTCTGATGGTCTGATGTCACCTCCAGGTCCTCTATCCTTCCTCCCACTTTTCCACAAGACTTTCTGCGCTTGGTCCAATGTTTAGCTGTGAGTCTCAGCTTCTGTTTTGATCCACTGCTGGGTGAAACCTCTCAGAAGACAGCTATGCTAGATTCCTGTCTTGTTCCCTCTCTTCAGGCAATTCTGCTGTCTATTCTATTTCCCTCCTCGAGATTTAAGCATCTTCCTGTGGGTCCTACGTGTTATCTTCTTTGAGACAGGGTTTCTCTGTATAGCTTTGGCTGTCCTGGACTCACTTTGTAGACCAGGCTGGCCTCAAACTCACAGAGATCCACCTGCCTCTGTCTCCTAAAGTGCCAGGTTTACAGGTGTGTGCCACCTTGCCCAGCAAGGATGATCTTTTCTAGTTCCATTCATTTGCCTGCAAATTTCATGATTTCCTTGTTTTTAATAGCTGAGTAGTATTCTGTTTTGTGTAAATATACTACAAATGTTTCTTTATCCATTCTTTGGTTGAGGGACATCTAGGTTGTTTCCAGTTTCTGGCTATTATAACATCGTGAACATCGTTGAGCAAATGTTCTTGCTGTATGGTAGAGCATCTTTTGGGTATAGGCCCAGAACTAGTATAGCTGGGTCTTGAGATAGGGCTATTCCCAGTTTTCTGAAAAGGTGTCAGATTGATTTCCAAAGGGGTTGTACAAGTTTACATTCCCACCAACAATGGAGGATGATTCCCCTTTCTCCACATCCTCAACAGCAAGTGTTGTCACTTGAGTTTTTTATCTTAGCCATTCTGACAGGTGTAAAACAGAATCTGTCTTTTTTATATGCATTTCCCTGATGACTATGAATGTTGAGCCTTTAAGTGCTTCTCAGCCATTTGAGATGCCTCTGTTAAGAATTCTGTTTAGCTCTGTTAGCTCAATTAAAAATATCTCCCATTTTTAATTGGATTATTTGGTTTGTTGGTGTTTAATTTCTAATTTTACCTGATCTATAGAAGTTTTCCTGAAACCTAAAAAACAGCTATCAGAGGTTCTCAACCTGTGGGTTGCTACCATCAGAAAACATATTTCTGATGGTCTTAGGAACTGAGACCCCACACCATAGCTAAATTAGTTATGAAGTAGCAACAAAAATAAAATTGTGGTTGAGGGTCCCTAAGACCATCAAAAATATGTGTTCAAAGCCTAAAGCCGGAGCTTGAGCTAAAAGCTCTGCTTCTTCTACAAGCTGTCTTAAAGACCTCTCAACTCAAAGTCCCTCCTACTCTTTAATTCCTGTCAGCTAGTTTCTTGCTCCACCTCTTGACCTAGAGTTAACTTTATTAGATCCCGTATACAGAAAGCTCTTGGATTAAAGGTGTGTGATAGGGATCAACCAAAACAAACAATAAACAGAGTTTTACAGTTCACAGTTTTGGGATTCACAACAGGATCAAATATCCTGCAACAACTTCCTCTGAGCTTAATGTCTTCTACCAATGATGGGAAAGAGTAATATCTCATGTATAACAAGTAGGAAGCATCCACTCATTGTCTGTTTATCATATAAAGCCCTAAATATATGTTAACTGATTGGAACTAAATCACCCTGAAACATTTGTCAGACTTTATTTTGTTCTTGATACTTAGTTTTGTTTGCTTGCCTGTTTATTTTTGTTTGTTTGTTTGTTTGTTTTTGCTGTTGTTGCTTCCTTATGATGGTTTTCCTTTGAAGGTTTAGATAAGTTCTGATGATTAAAACCAGAGCCTCAAACAAAGATTGCATTGGTGAAGCCTAAATGTATAGGCTGTGAGATCTAGAGCACTAATTCCATATCCAGTTTCTTGAACAGTCACATCAAATAGCAATGTTGGCTTACCAATATGTAGCTTTTAAGCCATAGCAAACACATTAATGGACTAATCAATGAAGAAGGTCTGGAATGGGGGTGGCCTGAAAGCATTGATATGCTCATCCTAGCTCAGCTCATCCTGAATGGGTATGTATAAGAAAGGAAGGATAGATTTCATATAAGGAGCTGTTGGGTAGCAGACAAAGAATGTCTTAGGGTTTCTATTGCTGCAAAGAGACACCATGACCACAGCAACTCATTGTAAAGGAAAACATTTAATTGGGGCTGGCTTATGGGTCAGAGGTTTAGTTTATCAGGATGACTGGAAACACTGTGACAAGCAGGCAGACATGGTGCTGGAGAGGAGCTGAGAGTTCTATTTCTGGGCCCACTGCAGCAGGAAGAGAATGCCACACTGAGTGGGGCTTGAGCATATGAGACCTCAAAGCCCACACCCAGTGACACATTTTCTTCGATAAAGCCACAACTACTCCAACGAGACCACACCTCCAAATAGTGGCCCACTCCCTGTGGGCCTATGGGGGCCATTTTCATTCAAACCATCACAGATTGGCAGACAGAGACAATGCTGTCTCAAGCAGAAGGCACAGAAGTGTTTCACTGTTACCCTGCAAAGCCATGTCACTGGGAAACGAACAGCAACAGTGGATTAATCATGTCCAGGTTGCTGGAAAATATGTATCAAATATTTTCAAATATTTATTTTTACTATTCTCTCTCCCCCAATTCTGTTTAAGCAAATTAGGTTGCTCTGCATCCAGAGAAAAGAGGGGGGTAGAGAGTGGAAAGGAAGAAAAGAGATCACTTCTTTGCTTCTAAGCATTCAATACAAAGACTCTCAAACAGGCCCGGCTGTAGGATTTGTAAAACCCAACACAAAATTAAAATGTGAGACCCTTGTGCAAGACTGCCTGTGGTACAAATCAGATGCTTAGTGGATAAAGGTATTTGATAGGCTAGCCTGAAACCTGAGGTCAGCCCCCAAACCCTTGGAGAGGTAAATTGTGAGAACAAAGAAGTCATGATATAACCGAGTGGTGTGGAAGAAAGTGACATAACCCAAAAGCCATCCTCAAAAAAATAAACAAGAAAATAAAATTAAGACTAGGGAGATAAAACACAGAGAACAAGAGAGTCCCGGAATTAGGGATGGGAATAAAAGAACAAACCTAAAGGCATAGGAGAAACATCTAAATCCAGAAGGTGTCTAGCCTCCACATTGGCACCAGGGGAAAACATGCCCCCTTCAAATCGGCCTGTAGTTTGCCCAGACTTCCCACATGAGCGATGACTTCTTACAGCATTAGACTTTATTTGGTTACAATTGGCTACCACAGATGGCCAAGCTTCTTTGTGATATTCACATACAAATTATGTCATAAGAATTAAAAGGAGAAATATTCATCATTTTTATTTGGTTGGGACTGGATGGAAGAGGGATTAACCCACTTTCTACCCATCAAGAAGCAATCTTAAGTACTGTTGACAATATCTTTACATTTCCAAGCAAGCTACACATCTGTAAGAAGAATTAAAGTAAAGGACATAATACTGCCCCACTGGCATTACCAACCGGTAAAACTGCAATCCTTAGTCATTTAGAAGCATATGTTTAGAAGCATAACTTATCCCATAATATTATTTTCCATCACTCACTTATGATTTTGGGTAGTTAGTACGTCGTGACAATTTTATAACATTGCAATACAAGTACACTTGGGTCAAAATGAGCAACTAATAATATACTAAACCATTATAGAGGACTATTATGGTAGTCAAGCAATACAGCTTCTGCTACACCTTTTGAAAAGGATAAAACACAAAAGAAATGCAAAGTGCAACATTCTGAATTGTGGACAGTGTTAATGGTTCGTCTATGAAAAAGGAAAACACTGTATTCTATAGCTATTCTCATCTATTTGTTACATTTAAAAGGAATTTTTTGGTGTGTGTTTAATGGATACACTTTTCTTTTAATGCATTTTTAAACTGAATCATCATCTCATGTGCTTCTTTTTCCTGGCTCAAAATTTGTGTTAAGAAAAGAAAATTGCCTTAGTGATTATCATAGTCACTTGTTGAACAAGCTATTAGGACATGTCATCCTGAAAGCTTGTTTCAATTTGCTGAGTTGAAATCGCTAGGCGTGAAAGATTTTGCTCATATTATCATCTCTACTAAACCAATTTTATGCTGTCTGAATCTTTGTTTAAAATGTTATAGATTTCAGCACATCGCCACTGTTCCCAGTAAAGACAGCATCTCAGCAACCAAATATACCTTTGCCTCAGAATTAAACAAAATCACAAAGTACTTGGAAGATAGTGGACATCAAGCGAAGAAAGTGATTTCTGAGAGACAGGCAACAGATGAGACAAGCCTCACAACTGCCATACTCGTGAAAGTATCTTGGCTGAGGTGTCAGGAGAAAGCACACAGGGAGTGAGTACCCACTAGATGCTGTAAATTGAGAAAGGGACCTGAAAGCAGACATATGTGAAGATTTTATGACAAACTATCGAGCAAGAAAAGAGTCGTGTGGAGAAATTTTTCTGAGAACCACATGTCTCCATAAACTATTCAGAAGGCTGCTCACTGTTACACACAGTGAAGAAAACAAAGCTAAAAAGACATGTCTCCCAAGTTCAGAGGAGGAAACACCTGTCACTTACCCAAGACTCAGAATCACAATGATTCCTAACAACCAGAATGAAACATTTAATATCTCAGAGATCATTGACTTGCCTCTCTGTGGGTCATTTCATTGCCGGCTGAGATACTCACAGGGACCTTCACATTTAACCATGTTTGATAATAAATACCAAGAGTATTCACATGGATGTAAAACAAAGTGACAAATGCTGTAGCATTTACAGATGGTAGCCATTCAAACAATTAAAGCTTAGGGGACACTGTGAGAGAGGGAGGTGGAAAAATTGTAAGCACCAGAAAACCAGGATGTCTTCTGAGACATAGTGTCATTCATATTTATATACATGGCAGGGAAGCCACGCCCATGCAATCTCAACAATATGGTTTCCTAAACAAGACAACAGCAAAACCAGTTGACATGCCAATGTAGATGAACTAGAATATAGGAACTCGTAGATTCAGTAGTGATATGAACCAAAAATACACTGCTTTGAGAATTTTAATGAAATCAACAAGCATCTAATTATGCCAATGAGAAAAGCAGAATGAAGACACTGAAGTGGCAATTTGGGTATGAAAGAGTTGACAACAGAACAGATTATGTGTGTTTATAATCAACTATATAGCCATGGATTCAGGAATAGGTAATAAATCTTTTATAAAATACAAACTATCCAAACTTCCTCAAAGAGAATGAAAGAACCTGAACATTACATTTATTTTTAGAAGTTGAATTTGTAGTGAAGAAAAGATCCATGTTCAAATAGTTTCACTGGTAAATTATGCCAGAAAAGAACAACATACTAAATTCCATATGTAGAGAGGAGGAAATGAAAGAAAGAATCAATTACTGAGAATAATTTTATACAAAAGAACCTAAAGAAGAGAGTAACAGACCACCTTTCCTTAGGCACATCTACCCAAAACTCTCAAATAGAATTTCAGTAAAGCTACTACAAGAATACCTTCAGGAAAGTCAAAGGGCAGTTATCCCTGGACATAGGATGGGTTTAACATTCAAAATGCAAGCCCTGTAACTCTCCACATTTACAAATTGCTATGGGACTACCACAGTGAATACTGGGAACAATTTCATTCCTCAGAAAGATCTTTGGGTATCTGTTTATAGTCAGCTTCTCTTTCAAGATTTCAGTGTTTTGGGGTCTCAGAGCACACGGTGCCTGTAATTTGCTATGTAGCCAAGGACCTTGCTCCTCTTGCCCCTGACTCCCACATTCCGGGATTACAGAGGTGTACCACTGGCACCAAATTTATGTTCTTCTGCGTTTGGAACCTTGGAGATGCTAGGCAAGCACTCTATCAACTGACCTGTATCTGCAGCCCTAGTTTTCCCTTTACTGAGAACGCCATCCAATGTCACGTAGCTGAATGGTCACACATGAAATGGTTTAAATTTAGCTTCTTATCACTCGCACTCTAGATCTGTATGTTTGGTCATTTTACTGTGGAATGGTATCTGTGCATTCACTATTTTCTTGAAGGACGTGTAGGGTTGTTTATACTTTGGGTGACTACGAATAAAGTTTCTATAAACACTGCGCTGCACGTATGTTAAACGTACAGTTTGACGAATCTTAATATTCACCTGCCCTAATACTCTTGTATTTTTAGTCTTCTATCCTAATATTTCTTTCTACTCCCAACACCCTAGCCTTTTCCTCCTGTTCTAGAGTTACATGCAAAAGAACCCGTGTAGGGTATCTATCTTTCCGGAGTTAATATTCCTTTTGCTCCCAGAAGATTTAGCAAAAGCAATTGCACTTTAAAGAAGAAAACTGACGCAATCTAGTTTACATTTGTAATTAATATTTTTGGTTAGTGTGAGAAGAACGAACAATGGGCCACTTAAATGTTCTTTTTGAAGGTATGGACGAGAATGAAAACAATTTCTGGATTTCTAGGCGGGTTCCCTCCCTTTGGTAAAACCAGACCGTTACCAGCGGGCGATGGGACCTGCTTGCGCAGTTCCCAGTTCTCCACAGCAGATGGCCCCAGAGCCCAGCGCCCGATTGCTCGGAGTGGCTGCAGTTCGGAGAGACTGGCTTCTCCAAGACAGCGGGTTCAGAGGCTTCAGCTCGAGAGCCACCGAGGCGCGCGGCGGCCCCTAGCTGCTCCTGATGGACAGCATCGAGGATCCGCTCCGAGCGTCACATCTCCCTTCAGCTACGACCTAAGCTGGCCCCCGGTGTGCTGTTCGCTCCGGCAACTTTGACCCGGAGAAGCCGAAGTTCCTCGGGACATTAGAGTGTCCCACAACAGTCCCCTCCTTGGTGACATTAGATGGAACCCATTTGGGTGGGCTGCCGGTCTGCACCGCTCGTAAAGAGTGCTCAGCCGGGGAAGGTGGCTTCGGGAGTTCGAAGACAAGGGGGAGAGGAAGGCGTGTCTAGGGTTTAGAAAGAACTAATGGGTGGCACCGAGAGGAACGCGAAGGGACCGAGGTTGGGTTTCTCGGAACAGAAGGAGCTGCCAGGCTGATCCGGCCGGCTTGTTTGGATGGAGAGTTGCCTAGGCAAGCGGTGCACTTGAGAGCCTCTCCTTCCCCCTCTCCAGAGTGCTCTCCAGCGATGAGGTCACAGCCCCTTGGAGCCCTCCTCCTCCCTCCGGTTCCCTCCCGCACCCCGGTCTGGCGCAGGGCAGTGGGAATGAGGCGACAGAGCGCGCAACGATGAAGTAGCCAGGAGTCTCTTGGAAAATGAGGCCGGGGTCCCTGCTGCAGCTAACGCTGCTGCTCGCCCTGCTTAGGAGCCTGCGGGGCAGAGGGTGTGCGTCTCCACCCTGCCAGTGCCACCAGGAGGACGACTTCAGAGTCACCTGCAAGGAACTCCACCGAATCCCCATCCTACCGCCCAGCACCCAGACTCTGTGAGTAACCAAGGCCGACCCCCTTTCCCCCCCCAGAATTATGGTGTGTGGTGGGATGCGCTGATGTCTGGGCAGTCCCTGTACAAACTTAATCGCCCGTACTTGGGAAGGACGAATACGCTGCTGACACAGGGAAACAGAACCCCTAACAAAACTTTGGTTTAAGATGGGAGTTGTGCTTTTTGAAGAGTTTCTATTCTGTCTACATTTGGCCAACTCCCTGCGCCCGTCGGATTTTAGTTTCACCTCAGGTAATAGGTTAAGACATAAAACAACTAACTTTTGAGATTGGGAAGGAATAAAGTGAGCAGGATACAGCTGGGATACGGAGTTAATAAAATGTAACTAATAATAAAAAAATAAATTAAATTAAAAAAAGATTATCTTTCTAGAAAAACTAACATTTAGAAATTATCTTAGAAAACAAAATTTCTATTCTCTCCCCTTCACCCCAATTCCTCTTTAAGTCTCCTGAGGTGAGAAATTACCTTAGCCTTAGCTGTTTGACTTATCAAATAATTGTTGAAAACTTAATCAGAGATGGGCATAGTGCTTCTTTCCTTTAGTTCCAGTCGAGAGGCAGAGGCAGGTGGATCTCTGTGAATTCCAGGAGCTCTGTCTCAAAATACCCAAAAATGTAACCAGGAGCCCATTTAGAAATGCACCCTTGGACTTCTCAGAGAGGGTTCTAGAGGAAGTGGGGAGGCAATCAAAAAAGGGGGTGGGAGAGGCTGTGAATATGACCTAAAGCTATACATGAAATTATCCAAAAATAACTTAAAATTAGTTAAAAATAAAAGCACAATATGTCCCTCATCTAATATGTAGAGATCCTGTGAACTGTGCAACCCACACCATCACTTAACATATCCAGAATTTCTTTTGAATATACGTGGGGAAAAGGCAAAGAGATGAAATTTCACAAGGCACGTTTTCATCTTTGTGCTAAATGTTAGTTTCTTAACCGATCCCTGAAAGAGATTGGCTAAAAATACAACAGAAAGAGCAGTAAGACAAAGGGGCTGCCTAAACCCAGAGGAAGTGGAGATAAATGAAAAGCAGTTGTACTTCAAGGTTCTCTTAAGAATTTATCTTAGATTGGGACGGGAGGAGGGAGGGAACCACGGGGGGGGGGGGGGTACAAAGTGAGTAAAGTGTAATTAGTAAAAAAAAAAATTAAAAAATTAAAAAAAAAGAATTTATCTTAGAGGAGCAGTCAACAGAAGGTGATCGCCTCCATGGGTACAAATTTAAGTGTTTTCTTTGGTCCGTTAGTTAAAACCCTTGTTTCTTATTTCCCATGGATTTGTTATTGCAATAACCTCTAAGAAGCACTTCTTTCTCTATGCTGTCTTCGCAGAATAAAACACACTTTACCATCCTGATTAAAAACCTTATAGTGGGTACAGATAGTCCCCAAAATAGAAATCATGTACAAACTTCAAAGGACAACCTCACTGATCTTAGTTTACCTGTTTGTGTGCTTATCCAAGCAGGCTGAGTACCTCCAACACAGGGTCCCTGTCAGGCAATCTCGAATTGTAAACCAGCCAATTTTAGATGGAACTATTTAGATGTTCACCAAAAAAAGCTTAAGTGAATGAAGGCATAAACACATATTCTTGTCTCTGATTGCCAGAAGCCGAAAGGCTTCTTCAGACAGTTATAAGTTGTGAGGTTTTAAGTTACGGAAGAGAGATGAGGTTCTGTGAGTGCAAAAAAACTCACAATTACCCAGCAAATGTTGAGAAAAGGGAATGCTGAAAGTGAGATCATTTATTCAGAAGGACTCCATTTATTTTTTTTTTCCGTATGAAAGAGGCTTCTGATGCTGTGATGTGAAAGAAAATCAGTGAACCACAGAGAGTGACTGCACAGAGGCAGACAGACCTGACCTTGAGAGTAGTGGAGCCAGATGTTAGGTCTTAAAGAAAAAGGGATGGGGAAGACAGGGTGCTGTACTTTTTAAGTACAGGTGAGTGGCATGGTGTGTTCACTCATATGATGACCTGAGAGATGTTCTCTCACAAGATTTACATTGTCGGAGTGTACCCCTTCTTTAAACTTTCTTGGTGCTTTTGTTAGCATGTTTTGCTTATACATAATAATGAGTATATATATATATATATATATATATATATATATATATATATATGTGTGTGTGTGTGTGTGTGTGTGTGTGTGTGTGTGTGTATATAATGAATATAATGTATTTGATCATATTCACCCCCACTGCCCTCTCTTGATTCTCTACCATTCCATCTGATCTTCCCTTTCTTCTAATGAACATCTGCTTGTGATAAAACCACTAAAGAAAATGTCTTTCCCTCCAGAAGTAACCATTAACCTCCTATAAATCTCCAAGTAGGGGTGGGGGCTCATGAGCCATGTCATGTCCAGACGGTGTTCTGCAATGCTCAACCCCATCCTCATTTAGAATTTTTTGAAGAGCATTTTGGTTTATAATGCAAAGCCTTGTGCTCTTGTGGGGCTGTTTGCCTGACTTTGTCGTGTTCGCCAGGATGCCATACAAGCTGGGGTTGGCTGTTTTATATGTCGCTAAGGTGCTGAGGGTGTTTCTTCCATAGCCTGATCTACCCGTGTGCTATAGTGGAGAGAGTGAAATACATCTCTTTCTACACTGCTGTGCACCTGCTCTGTGGTCTTATGAACAGGAAGAAGACCATGACAATCTGGCTCTGGATTTTTTTCTTACTTGACTCTCCAGAGAGGCATAGTGTGTCCTCATTATAGCAAAGGGACTACTATCCCTTGTCTTCATTTGGAACATTCAAACATCTTTGATATGCAGGAAGTCTGAAAAAAAAAAAAAAAAAAAACAACTTACTCCTCTCACTTGAGAAAGACACAAGGAAACTTAGATAAAACAAGAGATGTGTGCACACAGTGCCAGTGAGATGGCACAGGGGGCGAAAAGGCTTGCCCCGCAGCCCAGCAACCTGGGTTTGACCCCTGGAATCCATATGGTGGAAGGAGAGAACTGACTCTCACAAGTTTCCCTCTGACCTCCACTGGAGCACCATGGCACGCACACATGCCCGCACGCGCACACACTACACACAATTACCCAGTAAATAAGTGAATGAAAATTCATATCTCTGGAGGATTTTGAAAAAAAAGTGAAAAGCAAAACAATAACATTTGACACGTAATTATAGATATCACCTCCAAACCAAACATACCAAGCTGGGCCATCAGTCTCCTCTATTCCGAAGGTTTCCGAGTACGGCCTCTCTGCATAAGAGAATGCCGTTCTAGAGCGACATTCTGTGTGTTTATGCTGACTCACCTTGCCTTGTCCTTTTAACCCAGTAGAATGATAGAGCAGGATGCCTGGCATTCTCCCCACTGGTTTTATAATGGCAGCAATGACCACCTGCACCCGCTGGACTTCCTACATTGTCTCGGATCTTGGGCTTCAGTGTAGTAAGCGTTTGTCCACCATGTGGGAATGTGTCCAGAAATGCTGCTGAGATTTTGGGGGGGGGGGGTGTGTGTTCTGGTTTTAACTGTTTGCATGCTGTGCTTAAAGGTTTAATTGGTGTCTATCCCAATATTTTCTCAACTAAATGACTGTGTACCTTCAGGAGTTGAGCCTTAGCTTCCATTTATGGTATTTGCTACTTGGTATGCTTAAGTAGGTATATTTCTTTAACTGAAGTGAATTTATTTAGAAAAGCTTCTAGCCTTTGTACAATCCAATCTAGCCCTAAAATGTTTTTTAGCTTCTGAGACTTGCTATTGAATGAAGTTTCTTGTTCTTTCTGAACTCTGGCTGGCTGGTTCAACTCAGCTGTTCTGACTCAAACTCCTCTCCAAACTGACTGATTCAAACTGGCTTTTCTCAGCTTCTGACTGAATTGCTCTGCTTGGCCTCAAACTAACTCTAGCAATTTGCTCTAATCTTCTGACTCTGTATCCTCTGGCTCATTGTGTCTTCACCTGTGTCTAGTTTGTTCTCTCTTCAACCTGTCTCTGTAAAACTCTCCAGTAAAAAAAAAAACTGCCCCTTCTCTCTTCACTTTCTCTACACTGCTCTCCTAAGCTGCCTCTCTTTCCTCTTTCCTCTCATGAGAGTTGAGCATAACCTATTCTGTTAAGTCTTTCTCTGATTTGTCACTTTTTCTGCCTTTCAATTATATATCACTTTCAAACATGTGTGCTTCCTTCTATAAAGTAACTTTACCTTCATTGTTTGGGATTAAAGGTGTATAATAAGTGTGTGTCTGTATTCCAGCCAGAGCGATTAAAGGTATGTCATTCCAGCCAGATTATACAGACATAGAAGGTGTTTGGATGTGATCAGAGAAGCCATGTTCCTAGATTAAAATTCCCCTACATGGAATGCTTCTCTGGCTGTTGAGGGCAATAGCTGTTTACTTTCAGATACCGAAGTGAAATGTGATGGGTTTCCACACATTCACTGCTTGCCATCATTTGACCTTTAGTAAAACCATGTTCAAGATACTTTGAATATCCATCTCCTACAACTACTGACTTCACTAGTGCTTCCTGAATTCTTCTGATACAGTACTTCATCTGGAGAGATGACAGTGGTTTAGAGCACTTGTTGTTCTTCCAAAGGACCCAGGCTCCCTTCTACGCAGTGACTCACAGCTGTCTGATAGAGTATTCCTCTGAGAAAGGAAAAAGTAAACACCCAAGATGCGGAGGCTCTCAAAGCAGCCAAAGCAAGTGGGACATTCCTCTGCCAACTCTGGTTTTTCTCTTTTTAAGGCTTTTACCTTTTCCCCACCACACAAGTGTTATATGTTGTCATATAGTTTTCAGGAGCAGTGTCCCTGAATGTATGTTATTACATCTTTACTTTAATTTATTCCAGAACTTGACTCAAACAGGTGTCTTGAATGTCTAGAATGGCAGGTACTGTGGGAGTACTGTGAGGTAGTTAGGAAGACAGGGATAGGTTCATTTAACCCAGTAGCATCATAGCACAGGATACCTGGCATTCTCCTCTG